ATCTGTCTGGTCCTGGACCTTTTTCTTGTTGGAAATTTTCTTTATTACCGTTTCAATGTCGTTGCCTGTTACTGGTCTGTTCAGAGATTGTTTATCTTCCTGATTTAATCTAGAAGTGTTGCCAACTTCCAGGAATTTATCCATCTCTTCTAGGTTTTCTAGTTTATATGCATAAAGGTGTTTATAGTAGCCTGTAATACTTTTCAAAGAACCAGCTTTTCAATGAATTATTTGAATTCTTTTCAAAAAACCAGCTTTTTGTTTCATTTATCTTTTTTTTTTTTTTTGTTATCGTTTGTTTCAATTTCATTTAGTTCTGCTCTGATCTTCATTATTTCTTTTCTTCCGCTGGGTTTGGATTTAGATTGTTCTCATTTCTCCAGGTCCATGAACTGTGAACTTAGATTGTCTGTTTGTGCTCTTTCAGACTTTTGATGTAGGCATTTTATCCTAAGAACTTTCCTTTTAGCACCATTTTTGCTGTATCCCAGAGATTTTGACAGGTTATGCCACTATTATCATTCAGTTCAAATAATATTTTCATTTCCATCTTGACTTCATTGTTGACCCAGTGATCATTCAGGGGCAGGTAATGTAATTTCCGTGTATTAGTATGGTTTTGTGGGTTCCTGTTGGAGTTGATTTCCAATTTTGTTCCACTTTATTCGGAAAGAGTACTTGATGTGCTTTCAGTTTTCTTAAATTTAGTGAGACTTGTTTTGTTGCCTATTTGTGGCCTATCATATGATCTGTCTCAAAGAATGTTCCATGTGCTGATGAATAGAATGTATATTCTGCAGTTGTTGGGTAAAATGTTCTGTAAATATCTGTTAAGTCTATTTGTTGTAGGGTATAGTGTAAGTCCATTGTTTCTTTGTTGACTTCTGTCTTGATGACCTTTCTGGTGCTGTCAGTGGAGTATTAAAGTCCCCCACTATTATTGTGTTGCTGTCTATCTCATTTCTTAGGTCTAGCAGTAATCGTTTTATAAATTTGGGAGATCCAGTGTTAGTTGCATATATATTTAGTATTGTGATATTTTCCTGGTAGACTAGTCCTTTTACCATTATATAATGTCCCTCTTTGTCTTTTTTAACAGCTATTGATTTAAAGTTTGTTTTCTCTGATAGAAGAATAGCTACTCCTATTTGCTTTTGGTGTTCATTTGCATGGAATATCTTTTTCTACCCCTTTACCTTAAATGTATATGAGTCCTTCTGTGTTAGGTGAGTCTCTTGAAGGTAGCAGAAACTTGGTTGGTGAATTCTTATCCATTTTGCCATTCTGTATTTTTTAAGTGAAGCATTGAAGCCATTTACATTCAATGTTAGTATTGAAATGTGATGTACTATTCTATTCATTGTATTACTGTTGCCTGAATATTTTGTTTTTCTTCATTGTGTTATTGTTATATATACAATATGTATGCATTGTAAGATTTATGGTGTAAGGTCCTGAGAGATTCCTGCTTTAAGAAGGTTCTATTTTGGTGTTTTTTGAGGATTTATTTCAATATTTAGAGCTCCTTTTAGCAGTACTTGTTGTGCTGATTTGGTAGTGGTGAATCCTCTCAGCATTTGTTTGTTTGGAAAAGACTGTATCTTTCCTTCACTTATGAAGCTTAGTTTTACTGGATATTAAATTCTTGGCTGATAATTGTTTTGTTGAAGGAGGCTAAAAATAGGACCCCAATCCCTTCTAGATTGTAGGTTTTCTGGTGAGAAATCTGCTGTTAATCTGATAGGTTTTCCTTTATAGGTTACCTGATGCTTTTGCCTCACAGCTCTTTAGATTTTCTTTTGTCTTGACTTTAGACTAATCTGTTGACCATGTGCCTAGGCTATGATGTTTTGTGATTAATTTCCCAGGTGTTCTTTGAGTTTCTTATATTTGGATTTCTAGATTTCTAGCTAGGCCAGGGAAGTTTTCCTCAATTACTCCCTCAAATGTGTTTTCCAAACTTTTAGATTTCTCTTTTTCCTTAGAAACACCAATTATTCTTATGTTTGGATGTTTAACATAGTCCCATACTTCTAGGAGGCTTTGTTCATTTTTTAAATTCTTTTTACTTTGTCTTAGACAGATTGGGTTAATTCAAAAACCTTGTCTTTGAGCATTGAGGTTCTTTCTTCTGCTCGTTCAATTCTATTGCTGTTACTTTCCAGTGAATTTTGCATTTCTCTAAGTGTGTCCTCGGTTGTCAGAAGTTGTGATTGTTTTTTATTTATGCTACCCATTTCACTGAAGAATTTTTCTTTCATATCCTATGTACTGTCTTTTATTTTTTTTAATTGGACTTCACCTTTCTCTTCAGTAACTTAATAACCTACCTCCCGAATTCTTATTCTGGGAATTCAGATATTTGATTTTGAATTTATTTTATTTAAAGTTTGTTTTGTCTGATAGAAGAATAATCTACCTTCTGAATTCTTATTCTGGCAATTCAGATATTTTATCTTGAATTTATTTTATTTAAAGTTTGTTTTGTCTCATAGAATAGCTACTCCTATTTGCTTTTGGTGTCCATTTGCATGGAATATCTTTTTCTACCCCTTTACCTTAAATTTATATGAGTCCTTATGTGTTAGGTGAGTCTCTTGAAGGCAGAGAAACTTGGTTGGTGAATTTCGCTGGGTGATCTCAAGTATATGGAGAGTTAAGATCAGCCAGGCCTTCTCCTCTTAGGCATGTGTATCTATTTCTGGTGAGCTGGTATGATCTTTTGGGGTGTTAAATAACCTTGTTTTGTCATATTACCAGAATTGTTTTTCTGGTTCCCTCTCATTGGGGTAGACTACGTCAGAGGAAAAATCTGGGACTCAAGGGCTGCTGTTCAGATTCTTTTGTCTAACGGGGTGCTCCCTTGATGTGGTATTCTCCCCCTTCTCCTAGGAATGTGGCTTCCTAAGGGCCAAACTGTAGTGATTGTTTTTGCTCTTCTGGGTCTAGCCACTCAACAGAACTATCCAGCTCCATGCTGGCACTGACGAGTGCCTGCAAAGAGTCCTGTGATGTGATCTGTTTCAGGTCTTGCAGCCACAGATACCAGCACCTGCTTTGGTGGGAGTTAGTGGGGGTGTGAAGTGGACTCTGTGAGGGTCCTTGGTTGTGCTTTTGTTTAGTGTGCTGGTTGCATCCCAGGTAGTCTGCAGTGGTGAAATACTTCCTTCAAAGGGTGTGTGGATTATCTCGGATATCCTGGTATGTTCCTGTGGTAGTTCTTGGAGCAGAAGTTCATGACGTAAGTCTCCACATGCTGCTGTATCCTTTCAAGCAGGAGCTACAACTAGTCCTGCCTCCTATCTGCCGTCTTGGAAAAATTGACAGATCTGAATTTTCAGCATAGTTCTTGGTCATTGTTTTCAGTGATTAGTGGTGAAGAGTAGATTGCTAATATCAGTAAGAGTCTTGTAGTGTTTTTGCTGGGTGATCTCAAGTATATAGAGAGTTCAGATCAGCCAGGCCTTCTCCTCTTAGGCATATTTGTAAATAGTTTTTCTTTGGGCAGATTTATGGGGTACAAGTGTAATTTTGTTACATGGATATACTGCATGGTAGTGAGGTCAGGGCTTTTAGTGTATCCGTCACCTACTTAGTGCATTGTGCCCATTAAGCAATTTCTCGTCATCTACCAACTCCCAGCCTTCTGAGTCTACATTGTCTCTCATTCCACACTCTATGCCCATGTGTGCACATTATTTAGCTCCCACTTTGATGTGAAAATATGTGGCATTTGACTTTCTGAGTTATTTCACCGAAAATAATGGCTTTCAGTTCCATCCATGTTGCTACAAAAGACATGATTTTATTCTTTTTATGACTGAATAATATTCCATTATGTATATGTATAACATTTTCTTTATCCAGTCATCCATTGGTGGACAAATAGGTAGATTCTATATCTTTGCTATTTTAAATAGTACTGCAATAAACGTAAGAGTGCAGATGACTTTTTGGTATAATGATTTATTTTCCTTTGGGTAGACACCTAGTAATGGAATTGCTGGATTGAATGGTAGTTCTATTTTTAGTTCTTGAGAAATTTCCATAGTGTTTTCCATAGAGGTTGTACTAATTTACATTCCCTCCAACAGTGTATAAGCATTCTCTTTTTTTTCCCCTTTCTTGCCATCTGTTATTCTTTGTCTTTTTACTAATAACCATTCTAACTGGTGTGAGATAGTATCTCATCGTAGTTTTAATTTGCATTTCTCCAATGATTACTGATGTTGAGCATTCTTCCATGTGCTTCTTGCCATTTGTATGTCTTCTTTTGAAAAATATCTATTCATGTCCTTTCCCCACTTTTAAATTGGATTGTTTTTCATATTGCTGAGGTGTTTGAGTTCTGGATAACTGTAACTATTATTTCACCTTTGGGGCTCTGTGTGCTGTGTGTGGCAACCCTAAAGACCAGACAAGAAGATTCTCAGACTTCCTGAGAGGAGGTGGATGCCAGAACCCTGTGAATATCTGAACTTTATCCGGTATCTGTGCTCAGAGGTCTGTGGATTATGTAATCCTGGATAGTTCACAAAGCCCATCAATGCATATGGCTGTATTTAACCTCCCACATGAGGATGCAGAGTCAAGGTGTGGGTAGGTCATGGTTTCCTTGCAGTCAGCTTCCCAATTAAATACCAGAGGTGTGGTTTTATCCCAGCTCTTTCTACCCAAATGCTGTTGGTTTCATTTTAATGCAGCCACCAGAAATATTTTTTGCATCATTTTCTTTTCCTCACAATGTCCTATATTTGGATCTTCAGCTGAGTTTCCTAATCCCAGGTATAAAATCTGGTTTTGCTGTTCTGAGGAGCTCTAGAAAGAAGTCCCTGCAATCCACCTCAATAGGTTTACATGGAGAGAGAAAATGTCATCATGTTTGATTGTTTGGAGCTTGCCTTGTAGTACTTCACTTTTGAAGAGAGAAATCGGATCTCTGGTGGTTGATAAAATCTGCTGAAGAATTCACCATATCATGCATTTTGTTTTACTCACAGAATCATGTCAACCCTGCCATGGACTTCACACAGACTCCACCTGGGATGTTGGCTCTGGACAACATGCTGTACTTTGCCAAGCACCACCAAGATGCCTACATCCGGGTAAGCATAAAGGCCCTTTTCACATATTGTGTGTTTCCTAGTCAATGTTAATTTCAAACTCACAGATATGGAGGGATTACCTTTAGATAAGTGACCCCTGTATTTTTTGACTTTCTTAACAAACTAAAAAAAAAAAAAAAAAATCAGAATTAAGTGAAATCAATTAGGGGACTGAAATGGGGATTTTAACTTTCAATTTTTTTTTTCTATGTGGTGACCTTAAAAATACAATAGATACTTGGAAAACATTTCATATAGTCCAATATTGAATTATGACAAAAACTCTTAAATAACGAGGAATAGAAATGAACTACCTACCAAAAACCTGCATGACTCCAAATTCAGTGGCTGTTCAGTCTGATGCTAGAGGTACAATAGTATAAACAGAAACACAGAGAAAAATGGGGGAGATAGGGAAGGCAGATAAATGCCTTCTCCCATTTCACATCACACTAGTCAAATTCAAGTCACAAAGGTAGATTAATTTGTGGGTCGAGGAGAAGGACGTGGGGGACTCTATTTTCTCTGTGAAATGGAAGATGACGCCTGCTGACTGGGCAGTGCTCGCATGTAGGAGGCCGAGTTTTAATGAATGGGAGCCTAATGTGGCAGTGGTGGAGAAGGCTTATCTATCAGGGCTGCTCGGTTGGAGTCCTGGATTTGTACTGACACCTCTCCCCTGTCCTCAGGGAGAATAACTCAGACTCAGTTGGGATGAAGTAGATCTAAGATTAAGATCAGGGAAGGATATAAATAAATGAGGCAGGGGAATTGTTGCATGGTTAAAATGATGACTAGATGTAAGCTTAGAAAGTAGTTGATGAACAAGTCACCTAAAGCAGGAAGAGTAAGGCTGAACTTAGAATATGGTAAGAGCATGTTCATTCATCTCACATTCTCTCTTGGATTCTCTGTGGCACTGGCTCCCTACAGACCTGGCACTATCAATATCTAGTGATGTCAATTGGGCAGTTCCTTTGGTCTGGGCTCAGGTTTCCTCTGTAAACCAGAGAGACGACAGTTCTTAGTTGGGACAGTATTTATTCCCCTAGATAGCATTTAGAAATGTGTGGGCATGTTTCTTCGATTGTCACCATGCCTAGTGAAGTGCTACTGGGCTAAAATCTATAACCATGGGACAGTCTGCACGGTGAAAAACTGTACCATCCAGCAGTGACCTCCTTGAATAAGGCCATGCCAGATCACTGAGTTCTCTGTAGGCAATATATTTTAAATTTGTGTATTGTTCTATATATATGCAGTTTGGGAAGCTTTGACCTATTCTAAAATACTATTTGTAATCTGTTTATATAGAGGATTTTATGGTCATTTCTCTGAAAGGTTTGGGATCAGGTGCTTGGTCAGGTACAGTCCCACATAAGAAAATTATTTTTCCATAAAACTTTGATTTGACTTATATCTGAGTGTATTTGTTGCACAGATGGTTTCTAAGAATGTAATCTGCTTTTGTAGTAAGTAAATTAATATTTTTGAGATACCATGTAGTATAACCTTGGAGAGTTGAGCATGAAAAGTAGAAGCTAAGTAGAAATTTAATTTATCATTAACTGATTAATGTTCATGAATGAGTGTTTCTAAAATTAGAGCTTATTGATGCTGAATGTATTGTTAATTGCTTAAGAAGCATATGTCTCATGAAAAGTAATTTAATGTTTTAAGCCTGTTTTTCTCAATGTGTTCTTTAAACATTGTAAGTGAAATTAATACCATGGCAGCCTGACAGAACTTTGTATTTGATAAGGACTTGAAAGAAAAAACCTATTTGTAAAGAAAAGTTTGGCTTTTTGGTCCACATGCACTTTTCTTCTTTGGTTAGACTTTCCTGTATCTCACATGACTATTGGTTTCTCAAAAGTGTCCTTTCCCTAATTTTTTCTGTGTCCCATTTGACTTTGGGGCATTTACTAGATAGAAAGCTAAGGCTATTTATGTGAATGTGTGGGGTTAGTGGAGCATATATAAAGTCTGAAGATCTCTGCAAGGAAATTTTAGGGTGACTTAGAAAAGAGATATCTCTATGATAGTACAATAGTGCTGTAGGTAGTGAAAAAGGTGATCTGGACAGCTAATTAAATTTTGATTCATGAGCTCAGTGGTCTTTTCTGAATTATAAGGATGGTCTCAATCTTTTTAGTTTACATTTTGATAAAAACCTGCTTTTTTGAGGATGTGTATCTTCTCGATGAATTCAGTTTTTCCTTTATTATTTATATCTTTCATCTGATAAATGCTTATTCTGTACCTGAATATAGCCTCACTATTCACTCTCTTTGCCAGTCAGATTTGTAATTGAAATTTTAAAACATTGTACTACACACACACACACACACACACACACACGTATGCACAAATATTCCCTCTTTGCCCTTGTCACTCCCAGGTATCATGGTCCCTCACCCACTTTCTAGCCATATGTTCCTGAATTGTTTTTTTGCCCTGTGTTTAACTTACCTGCCACTCACTTTTCAGCATCCTGCACTAAGACTTCTCTCCATGGCTTTCTGGAAGCTGTCTTGCCAAATGCAGAGCACTCTCCTCATCCTTCATCTCATTGACCTTGCCCTTGACACCTGACACTCTCCAGCCACCAGTCTTCTCTTACCCAGCAGCCAGTGATCCGTCTTGGCTCTATTGTTGACTATTGCTCTTAGTCTCTCTGGCAGGTTTCCCCATTGCCGGCCCATCAAATGCACAGGACCCCCAGGACTCTGTCTGTGGACCTTTGCTTGTATCAGTCCCTCAGGCTGCACATTTCCTGAGTAACCATCAAATGCCCAGCCATGAGCTAAAGGGTGGGGATTCCTAAAAGAAAACAAGTTGAACATCGGTGCTGACATTGAGGAGTTCACTGTCTAGAGATGGAAAGTAGGAGTGGTGGTGGGGGGGAGGATAAACAGACAAGTACCAGGCAGTTTTCAAGTCACTTGGCATGTGTCTCGATTGAAGAGGATCATGCTTGGAACACAGAGGGAGGTCACTAACACAGATGTGGGGGTCGTTTCAGGAAAGCTCCTGTAGGAAGTGGTATCTAGACTCAGAGCTGTTGAATAGTACTAATAAGGTGAAGGGAAGAGATGGGGAGTACTCCCTCATGTGGAGGGAACCATGAGAACAAAGGTATAAGGTGCGTGCTTTGTTCAGGGAACCACATAGTATAGGATGGCCAAGGCAGGGACTGGCAAATGGGGCGTGGCTTGTGAGGTAAATGTGCTAGTTCAGTAGGGATGTCTTAAGCCATATGAAGAGCTCTGTTGGACTTAAAGGCAGCGAAGAATTTCTGAAGTGTTTTAAATAAAGATAAGAATTAAGTTTAGACAAAGCACTGTCCCAGTAGAAAACCAATGTGAGAATCAAGACTACAGGCAAAAATAGAATGTGAGAAATTATAGAGAAATGAAGGTATCTTGAACTAGAGAAGTGGAAGTGGCAGTGGAGTGGAGCAGTTTGAATGAGTTACTTTGGAACTAAAATCAACTTGATCTTCTCTAAGGAAGTGGGAGGTTCCTGGCTTGAGTGAGAGGTAGACAGTGGTATCATTAGATAGTGCAGGTCTGTGAGGGGCAGGCATTTGGACCATCCAGACTCTTACATGCATGTGGGACGTCTGTCTAGGAGGACTTATGCAGTGGGCAGTGAGATCTGGGTGGGTAAGCTCAGACCCATGTAGACATCACACTCTATTCCAACTTCTTAAGCATTCTTATTCCCTCCAATTCATTCCTCTATACTGTCACAATATAAGCTTAATGGCCTGCTTGCTAATGTCTGGAACCTTCAGACCCATCTTCTACGCCAGTTGCCAGGATGATCTTTCTGAACAGAGTTCAGAGTGCTTCAGGGACCACACCTGGTCCACAGCCTATCTCTGTGGTTTTATCTCTTGCTGCCAAGTCCCCTTTCCCTCTTTCCATCCCCCCACTGCCACAATAGCCTTTGTTTATATAAATGATGGTAGGCAACAGCTAGCCAGCCAAATCTCTGCCACTGTGTCTTTGCCCCCATTCTTGCTTCTGCCTGAGTGCCTGTCCCACACCATCTGCCTGTTGGATGGCCCTCATGGCAAAGGCCATCTTCTGTCTGAAGAAGATTTCCTGACCCTCTATCTGGATGACTCTATCCACTCTCTTTGCACTGTGGACACACAATTTAAATCCTAGAACATTGTACAACTTAAAATGTATTTACTCTTTATTTCCCCTAACTGATTGTAAACATCTTGTGCGTAGGCACCAAGGTTCATTTATATTGTAGCCCCTGGCACAGAGCCTAGCATATAGTGGCTTTTAATCATTTCTTGTAATTCACATGAGTAAAGAGTTTTTTTAGTTCTGGTTTAAGTGGTCTTTTGACAATGATAAATTCTCTTTTAACCTTTGAAGAATCATAGCCTTTGTTCCTTCTAACAGTTATAAAGGTTTGTTTTTGCTATGTGAATTTTGTGATGGGCAGCCTGGTTTCTCATGCTATATTTAAATAAAATTATGTAACTGTGTACTGACGAAAGCAGTGGATATAACTGAATTACCCCACACTTGGGCAGGCACAGAACATGAGGAGGAATTGCAAATCTGAGTATCCTACTGTGCATGGAGTAAAATCTAGAGGCATAGCATGATTTCAGACTTTTGAGTCTTACTTACTCTGGGTATAATCGCTTTTACTTTTTTAGAGATGCTTCACTCCTCGGCTCTCCCCACAAAAAGAATGGTACGAGGCTGTCTCAATAAGGAGACAGGTGGAGGGAGGGTTCTAGGCTCATGCCCATGATCTTTGTCATTATTTTCAGAGACAGGATAATGGTACAGAATTGAGTGTGTTGTAGATGTTTTGTTTTGCTTTTCTTTTACTCCCCGGATTAACAATTATCAGTGTTTTTGGAAGAATGAAGCTTAGTGACTCCATTGGAAACAAAACCTTTGGACTTAGAATTTATGTTCTTTCTTTCTTTTCCTTCTTCCTTCCTTCTTTCTTTTCTTTTC